GATATTGAAACAATTATCCTACAATCAAGAGCTAATAATGTCCATGCCCTAACATCTCTTAGTCTGTAAAGTAGTTGCCAAAACTTCTGAAAATGTTAAACAAAGTATTAGAAGAGCTCGACAGAAGGTGTTCTCACTTGCGTGCTTTCCAACTTCTATTTTCAACCTATATCTTCCAGTTTCTAATTTCATATCATTGTACTGAAAAGAAGGCTCCATCCTTCAGCTTCATAATTTCATATCCGAAATGACCACTTCATTGTATGCTAATCCATCCATTCCACTTTCACAATTCAGCCTTGCAGTGAATAGTACACTCTTTATCTGAAATCTCTTGACACGAAAAATAGAATAAACTTGGGGTACCATTGCTTTCTCAAGTGGTTGATCATTTTTTTCTTTGTAACATGTCTTCCGGTGCTGAACTGGTCTTGCAATAAACTGCACTTATGAATGTCTGTGCTAAATGTGGCTTAATTTAAATAATAATATTTTCACTAGTTACATTGCTCTCAGAAGATGAACATCTCATCCGTAGGCATTGGACACTATAAAGTTCAACTGATTTCTTCCTTTATGCACTCAGATTGACGACTTGACTAAAAAGTTTATCAAGACTGTTATAATTAGGGTGTGACCCGAATTTCTTATTTGAAGTATTGAAGAATTCTAATTGAAGTACACGTCAAGGAGAATTCAAGTTTGGAATGCTACTAGAGCCCTATGTCAAGTTGAAATTTTATTTTAAAAGCCTATTGAGAGTTGAAAATTTGGTATTGGAATTGAAAAAGAGTTTGGGATAGAGAAAACAATTTTTTAAAAAATTATTTTTTTCCGGGGAGAACACCGGCGCCACTGAACCGGGCATGGGGCGCCATGGTGCCCACCTGTTTCGAGTTTTTCGTTTTGGACTTAGTTTTCTGGCATCATACTTCATCAACAACTCTACTAAAAGAGTTTGGACGCCCCCTACATATTCCCTATAAATATTAGGCTCTTCTATACAATTTTAAGTGTGAGAAAATAGATTATTA